GAGAGTCTGCAACACTGGGAAAAGAATGAAGTCTTAGGACACACAATAGTTTGGACAGCATGGCAGGGCTTGGAGTCAAACTCTAGTCTCTTCTCTTGAGATTCATTTAATGTTTCTGGTAGATGGATTACTAGGGTAGGCGATCTCAAGGCTCCGTCTAAAGGCTGATAGGGGAATCCAGGAAAGCCTCCTCTGTGTTTGCGTTTTGGACTTTCTTCAACTCAGTGAGGAGCAAACCAAAGGGACCTACTTTGGGGTGGCCGTTCCTGAGCTTTCTGACTAAATGTTCACAGTGCACAGACTCCAGAGCCAGTATAGACCTGGGCTTTATATCCTATTGCTTGCTTATGAGACCTTTGCCTAGTACTTAATCCCGCTAATCCTCAAATTCTCCATCTGTAAGGGGAAAGGTAGGTTAGAACTGCAATGGCTTGGTTGGAAATATTAGCCATGATTATCTGTGTGGCTAGGGTTAGGCTCCTCTTTCGTTTTTCTGAAAGACTTATCCGCATTTCCTATTTTCCTACAATTAACATACGCTGTATCTGTAGACTGTTTTTCCTAAAAGAATATGCTAATGCTCTATGTAAACGTGCATAAACACAGCCGATTAGCAGCTGCAAAGAAGGGCAAACAAGAGGATGGCTTGAGAAAATAGATAAAGCCATTTCCCCTTCCTGCAAAAACCGGATACACACTGTGGGACACAGAGTGGAAATCGAAGTTAAAAAAAAGAATATCTTTGAGATTTCTAAAAAGGAAATGCAGACCTTAATAGACTCTTTGTCAGGATGGAGCAAACAGTGGACTAGGTGAATACAAGAGAGGAGGCGCAGAGAGTCCGGGAGCTTGGTGCCAAGGCTGAGGTCTTGAGTTCAGGCTCTGGGGCAGCAAGGGTTGGGGAAGAATGGATTCTACTAAGCTGTCTCCTGTACACACACACACTCTCTCTCTCCCCCAAAATAAATAGATGACTCAACTAATGAGTTAAAACATGAAAGCAAAGCCAGAAATGACTCTCCTTTTTTGAAACGCTAACTAGACTTCCACTTTTTCTCCTTCTTTCTCAGGGAGCACGCGCTCATGTCTCCTTTCTCAGGGAGCACGCGCTCATGTCTCCTTTCTCAGGGAGCACGCGCTCATGTCTCCTTTCTCAGGGAGCACGCGCTCATGTCTCCTTTCTCAGGGAGCACGCGCTCATGTCTCCTTTCTCAGGGAGCACGCGCTCATGTCTCCTTTCTCAGGGAGCACGCGCTCATGTCTCCTTTCTCAGGGAGCACGCGCTCATGTCTCCTTTCTTAGGGAGCACGTGCTCATGTCTCGAGATGCACATACGGAAATCAAAGGACAGCATGCAGAGTCTGTCATCTCCTGCCACCACGGCATTGAACTCAGGTCTTCGGGCTTAGTGTCCGACCCTCTGCTCTCACTAGGGCCATCACCTACACATAACATTCTGGTTCCCTCAATCTCTCAAGTGTTTTTATAAATACACAGAAAATTATGAAAACACAAGTTAAAAATGGTGTATGAAAACAAACAGTGCCCCCCTTTCCTTTCTGGTGTTTTGAGACAGGCTCTCTGTAACCAGGCTGGCCTGGAACCCATCATGTAGATCAGGCTGGACTCGGATATGCCACAGTTCTAACATCTTAGCGTCTCCAGTTCTGGGACTACTGACATCAACCACCATCCCTAACTCAGGGAAAATCTCTTAGTCAAGACTTCCCTTTTGCAAGCATCCCCAAGGGAAGGGCAGGTTCTTTGAAAAGTTTAAGTATTTTCCACATTGAAAAGTGTTTCGGAGCATCTGCATGCTACGTGCATGAGTTTAGGGTACTGTGATCTTGCAGTTATTTCTAGAAGACTGGTTTGCCCTCCGCAATGCCTAATGCAGGGTTCTTTTAGGCCTCGTGTGACTGGGTTAGATCACAGGTGTGAAGGTCAACACAAGTGAAGTCAGATCAGCAGTGTGTACTACAGAGACCAACTGCCCTTTAAGTGTTGGGACTCATCCTCTATAATCTTGTAGAGCACGCCTTTAGCACAACTGTGGTCTTTGTGTGTGTGTGTGTGTATGTGCGCGCGCAGTGATATATCTCCTGCAGTGAGGTTTCCCATAGCCATGGTTGAGAGTTACAGGTAAGGCCCCATCCTGAAGGAGTGGGAGTGTTAGTCTGTTCTAGTTAGAGAAAGGGCTAGTTTATTTAAGTTTGTCTATTTAATAGTTTCACTTGTTTTGCTGGTGTTGTTATTTCATTTTGTTTGTGGTTTAGCTTTGTCTGCCTGTTTTCCTTCCTTCCTTCCTTCCTTCCTTCCTTCCTTCCAACAAGTTCTTCCACTGACTGGCCTGAAACGTACCTAGAAGGCTTGCTTGGACAGTCAGCAAACCCCAGGATTCATCTCCCTCCTCCTCCTCCTCCTAGAGCTGAGATTACAAACCATTTCCACCAGACCCAGCTTCATTCATGGGGTTTCTGGGATCCAGCTCAGGCTTTCTTGCTTGCAAGATAAGTACTTGATCAACTGAGCTATCTCCCCGGGCTTCTTGGGATGGTTTAACTTTTACTTGTTTTAGCACACACGGAGAAGATAGTACAGGAGAATTGGGACAAACTTAGGAAAGATTAAGAGGACAGAAAAGAGTGGGTTCACTTCCCCTTTCTCAGGAAAGGGAAGTGGCATTTGCATGCCCCTGCTGAAACCTCATCGCTCCCATCTCTAACTGTCAGGTTACATAATGCTTTTCCCCGAGTTATGAAATAGCTAGGTCCCTGAGGTCACTTGTCATTTGATTCCTAGCTACCGCGTGGGTTCACTTAGCCAACACATGCCTAACTACACACCTATCATGTGTTTGGTGTGGAAATGCAGTAGAAGGGGAAGAAAAGTATAGAGTGCCTGCCCTCACAACATTCGCAGTTGAGGGAGGAATGTGATTGGGAATTACCTAATGAGAGGTCACTGTGGAATCCAGCTATAGTAAGGGTTGTAAAAGATATCAGGCACGGTGCATGCACGCCTGTAACCTCGGCAGTTCGGAGGTGGAGGTAAGGATCCAGAGTTCAAAGGCAGCCTTAGTTACCTAGCAAGTTGTGGTCAGTAGACTTGGTGAGACATTATCACAAACAAACACACAGACAATAGAAGCCACACATGAACTGAAATAAGCACTGAGAGGCAGGCATTTGGAGCCACGACATACATGTGCTCACACACTGCACACACATATACCACACTCATACACATATACACACATATTTTTTAAAAACCTGGTGTAGAGGCATCTGAAACTCCAGTACTGGGGATGTAGAGACAGGAAGATGTCTGACTTTTGCTGGCCAGCTCATCCAGGCAATCTTCCAACTCCAGGACATACATCATGAGGACCTGAGTTCAGGTCCCAGCACCCACATAAAAAGCCTGACATTGCCATCCATGTGTCTATAACCCTAGTTTTGTGGAGTGGAGACAGGAGGATCAATGGGGATTGCTGGACACCAGCCTAGCTTTAGGCTCACCTAGAGACATTGTCTCAAAGAAAGAAGGTGGCGAGTGACAGGGCAGGACACCTGATACCCTCTGGCCTCCATGTGTGTGCCTGTTTGCCGGCACCTACACTCACACGTACACATATACTACACACATACACAGTGCATTCATACACATATACACACAAATTAAAATCCAAAGGCTGGGACAGTTGCATCCGAACCCCCAGTGCCAGATGTCTGGGCTTGCTGGTCAGCCAGTCTAGCCAATCTTCCATCTCCGGCATCACGGAAGCTTCATGTAAGGCAAGGGGCTGGAGAGCTCCGTGATTAAGAGCGTTGGTTCTTATGGAGACCTGAATTTAGGTCTCAGCTCTTACATGGTCACCTCCCGGACATAGTGGCTCACAGCCTTCGGTGACTCTAGTTCCTTAAGATCTGATGTCCTCGTAGAACCTCTTCTACAACAGGCACACACGTGGTGCACATACAGACATGAAGGCAAAATGCACACACGTAAAATAAACCTTTAAAAAGAAACCCGGTGACATGATTGAACCAGACAACGGATATGGATCGCTGGCCCCCACGGCCCACAGATGGACACACAATGCACGCGCTGAGCCCAAGAAAAGCTGGGGTTGTCTCTGGAAAACCTGGTCACTCCAGGAAGAAGGGGAATTTGAGGGGAGTACTATCTGCTCACTGAGAGCCTTTCTACCTTCTGTCAGGTATTTTCCTCCCTCTCTGATTATCGAAGAGCGAACCCTGGAAAGCAGGAAGCAGACCCCACCACCAAATACACTTTTATTCCTTACAGGCAATGTTCCTAAAACGTACCCACCACGGTCACATGGCTGAATATTTGGCTTTACTGGGCAGACCACGCCCAGGAAATGGTCCTCCAATGGGAGGCTCTACCCAGGTGCTCATTAAAAATGCAGACACGCCCTGGCCCAGACCTACTGAACCAGAACCTGCATTTTAGCTGAATTCACAACCCAAAGTGATTAAAACACACATTAAAGTCTGAGACAAACCCCTGGATTTTTGCCTCACTTAAGAAAACAGCCCTTTACAATGTGATCACGCTCGCTGTACATAAAACTGAAAACAAGCTCTGGTGAAGCAGTGCTTACCGTTATTTTATTAGGAAAAACAATGCGTCCGGGACCCTGGAGCTGCATTTCCGAACCCCCTCCTTGTTCTCAACGGAATTATGAAGGCCCTGGGAGCAATGCTTAGAATATGTATGTGGGGTGCTTGGTGAGGTATCAAGGAAAGTGATGTTAGGCACTTTCTAGCTTGCTTTGCAAAACGTGCGCTTAGTCACTTCTGAGTTTGAACTTGGAGCCGGAACCTGGCGGGGGGGGGGGTGCGTGGGAGGGCTGAGAGGGGGCAGCTGAAAGTTTGCAGAGTCCTCGCAGGGGCCTTGATTAGAGGCAGGAGGAAGGCAGGGGCTGAAAGCTGGAGAGGGCTGGAGCTGGAAGCTCTCAGGCAGCGAGAGGTCCTGCCCAGCTGTTGGCGAGGAGTTTCCTGTTTCCCTCCCGGCGCCCGGGTAGAGTAGATGAGTGAGTCACTCGCGCGCACCGACCGACGACACCCCCCGCGCGCGCACACGCTCGCTTGGGGGACGGAGCCCCAGCCTTCTGCGCAGCTCTCCTCGGCCGCCGGGGGCCTCCTCCCGGCCTCCAAGCTCCCCCGATCGCTGGCCACATCTGGCTCGCACCTCTGCCCGGCGCGCCCAGGACGGCCCAGGCATACTGAGAGGACGAGGAGTCAAGGCGCAGCCCGGGGTCCCCGAGGCTCGGTTCGCGGCGCCTCACGGGCCGGTCTATGACGAGCGACGGGGGCCACCATGGGTCGGGGGCTGCTCCGGGGCCTGTGGCCGTTGCACATCGTCCTGTGGACTCGCATCGCCAGCACCATCCCACCGCAAGTTCCCAAGTCGGGTGAGTGAGTGGCCGCAGAGCGACGCTGGGGATCCACTAGGGCTCCCCGCTGCTCCTCCAACCCCCAGGGCAGCGATTGACAGTCGGCCGCGGGTCCCGGCGAGAGGGCGGAAACGGGAAGTTTGTAGCGGCCCGAGGCGTCCCAGGCCCGCGGGGATCCGGGGAAGATTTCTCGCAAAGGAGGACAGTTCAGTTGCGGGAGACTTGGGGACGCTTCTGACCCCTTTGTGCGCGCACGAAAGGCTAGGGCAGCCACGAAGGGCCTGCACCCCCGGAAAGGGAAGTTTGAGAAGTTGGGGCTTGGAGGAGTCAAGGCAGGGGATTGGCAGCCCAGCTGTTGCACACCTGGGCCGAGTACTGCCCTAGACACCCTGATTGAACCAGACTCTCAGTCCTCAATTCTACCACCTCTGAAAGGATTCTGGGCCCCAACTCACTGGAAACAAGTTCGAGAAAAGAACTGATCTCTAAGGGTTGTCGTCTATCCCGCTGGCCTGCGGGGATGGGGACTTAATGGCTGAGAATAATTTACTGCGTGCCTACTAAGTGCTGGGTTCCAGGGTGGTGCCTGGAGTCAAATATCTCCGTAGTTGTAGTTGTCGCTCAGTGGAAACACCTAACCCAGGAAGCCCACCAGATCCCGCCACCAGGTCCAGTGGCAGGGGCTGCATTTAAGGTAGAAAACCAGGAACCAGGACTCCTTCCTAAGGACTTACCTGGGAAGTGCAGAGTATCAGATATTTTAGCTCCAAAGTTAGAATCGTGGCAGCTATTTGTGGTCAGGGCCACTATTTGGGTAAGTCATGTGACTTTGGGCCTCAGTTTTCCTCCTTTGTACATCTCCGTGGTTCAGTTTGTTTAAGTTTGGCACCCTTTTCATCTTTGGCTTTCCACTCCCTGCTCTGGTGTTTTCAGTGACTAGGAGATGGCCAGGGTCGCTTTGGGTGAACTTGCCTTTGGGTGGGGGAGTTCTTTGCAAATGTCAGAGTAGGTGAGGCGATTTTAAGTGTTAAAGATCCTGTTGAAAGCGGCAGTGGAGCATTCCAGAAGGAACGAGCCTCACAAAGCAAGGCAGCAAAAATCCTAACAGGGTTTTAGTTCTGTAGTTTCTTAAACGCTGCTTTGGTTTTTCTGGTCTCTATTAAGCGGCAGCTCCAGAAAGTTAAATCCTCTCTGTTGTTACCCAAGCCTTGATTGGAGACTTGGTTCCGTGGCTAAGAACATTGCTGTGCAAGCTTGAGGATCTGGGTTCAAATCCCCTGCATCCAAATACAAAGTTGGGTGTGGCTCCTTGCCAACTCCAGTGGTAGTGGGAGAGGACTGGAGGCCCTTTGGAAATGGATGGATGCCAACCTGGGTCTAGATTGGGTGAGAGACCCTGGCTTAAGGGAACTCTGTAGAGAGTGATGAAGAACACCTGGTATCCTCCTCTGCCCCCCCCCCACATGCACATAGATCCTCCCCCAACACACACATAAACACAATTTTTTAAAATATTAAAAGAAAGCCCGCTGGATTTAGCTGATGACCATAAGACATGTCACCCCTCTTATGCTGTGTACATAAAACATTTGCTTTAGACAGGGAAGGAACAAAACTCAGGAGGCCCCAATTTAAGTCTTGTTTACAAGATTAAGATTTGTGATTTTCAAATCCAGGCTCTGCAGTGCATGACTCATTTATACACACAGTTTTAAACAATTAGCTGAGGGGCCTGGTGGGTCTTTTTAATTTGGGCTTTAAATAGTTTTATGAAACAGAGACTTTTCACATTTCTATGGAGTTGTGATTCCAGAATGTTTGGACAATTTGTTTGGAGCTGTACTCATGTGGTCAACGTTTTCAAAGACGGTTTAAAGATGGAAGACAGCCCCCAGAAAAGTGTGTGGAATCCCACTTGCCTTTTCATTTTCTATAGATGGAAAGGGTGTCTGGATTTCTCTGACATAAGTGGTAAATTGTGAGAACCGTTTTCAAGGTAACTTAATGCAAGATAAGATGTGAAGACACCAGAGATAGACTTACAAAGTCCTAGAAGTCCTTAAAAAATGAGTAAAACCCATCTTACACTTACAGCCTGCCAGATGAGCAAGTACACACACACACACACACACACACACACACACACACATATATAACCTTTCTTCTCGTGGGTATCTGGGGGTGCTATCCATGAGTATTGGAATAGACTGGGCACGCACTTGGGTGCTCATGGATGTGGAGGTCAGAGGTTGGCATCAGGTGTCTTCTTTAATGTCTCCACGCCATTTATGGAGGCAGGTTTCTTTGATGGTGCAGGGCCTTTAGCTGAACCCAGAGTGTCCCAAGCTGGTTCGTCCTGCTAACCAGCTTGCCTTGGGGAACTCCTTTCTCTGCCCGCAGATGACCATCCTCCTGGCTATTTATGTAAGTTCCTGGCAGGGATCTGAATTAAGGTCCCACACTTGCAGGACAAGTGCTTTTTGAGCTGAGCCACAAAATATACTTAGACAAATTTTAATTTAAGAAATTATTTAGTGTGTGTATGTTGTTATGTATGTGTGTGTGTGTACGTGTGCGTGTGTGTGCATTATGTGCATATGTGTGCGTGTGTGTGCTTGTGTGTGTGCGTGTGTAACTGCTCTTGTGTTGAAGAAGTCAGAGAACAACTTTGGGAGTGAGTTCTCTCCCTCTATTATATGAGACCGAAGAACTCAGATTTCGGAGCTTGGCTGCAAGCACCTTTACCTGCTGAGCCCTCCTGCAGGCCTCAAAAAATTAAAATGTTTGTTTTTGATGTATTACAGCCACACTTGTAAATGCTTGAAAATCAGAAATGACTTTTAGAGAAAAAGATACCCTGGAAACGTCATCCCTCGAAAACTATGGTTTTTATTTTTGAGGTGCCTACAGAAGGGTTCTCACAGAGAACTAAACCTTGGTCCTAGTGTCCGTGGGGTCACTGGTCCCTACAGACTCTTCAAGGACTAAGTCACCTTGTCCAGGTCAGGAACTAGAAATCTTCTAGCCCTGGAGTTTAATCTCTGGGCCTACTTCTTCCCAACCTTCCCGTAAGATGCCTTTTCACCCACAGGGCACTTCCTTTAATGACATCTTATTTTTAACAAGTGGCTTTAATTTGGTGCCTCTGTTTTGACTTAGCGCCCCACATCGAGGACTCCTTATTAAAGGCCCACCCACGGGAGCTCCTCCGTGACATCCACGTCTGCTTCATCCTTCTTCTGCCATCAGCATGCCTCCTTTTACAGCTTTCTTTACATTTATGAATTTTTATTTTAAAATTTGGTTTAATTTATTTCATTGTGTGTGTGTGTGTGTGTGTGTGTGTTTCTGAGGTAGCTGTGGGTATAGACATGAGAGTGTACTGAGTGTAGGTGCCCATGGAGGCCAGAAAGTGTTGGATCCCCTGGAGCTAGCTGGATATGCGGATGGTTGTGAGTCTTTTTGTGTAGATGTTTGGGAACGGGATTGGGGTCCTCTGCAACAGCCCTTAACAGCTGAACGTGCGCTCCAGCCACTGTGGGTGGCTCTATTTCCTTAACATTAATGCACCTTATTAATACTATCTTCCAAAGTGCCTTCCGAGTCTTCCTTCTCCATAGTATTGAATATCTCCTTCTAGGGCATCAGTTCTCAACCTGTGGGTTATGACCGACCCTTGCACAGGGGTTGCTGCCCAAGACCATCGGAAAACACACGTTATGACTCATAACAATAGCGAAATTAGAGTTATGAAGCAGCAGGGAAATAGTTTTATGGCCGAGGGTCAGCAGAGCACGAGGAACTGCATTAAAGGGTTGCAGCATTAAGAAGGTGGAGAATCACTACTCTAGAGGGAAGTTAAGACCCAGGGGACATTCCCCCAGGTGAGTGGCACAGACCCATTCTTACTTCGTTTCTTTGAGCTCACCCCACATCATGTCACAGACAGACACAGGACACATCAGGGGCTTGGAACACGGTCCCGTCCTGTTTGACTTTCCAGTCCCTGCAACCTAAATCCCTCATGTTTTCGTGAATGCCCCGGGAGGGTGTGCACATTAGATATTTCCTTCTCGGTGCCTCTGTGTGTGTTTCTCGTCGCTGTGTTCTTACTTCACTGCCTCTGTCTGATTATAGGCCAGGCATAGAAGACTCACAATCTTCACTCTTTCCTGTTACACAAGCTGCACCAAGTGTGTCCTGCCTGACTTTCTGTCGGATGGGCTGGAGGTAGAGTGCACACTGCAGATCAGGTTGTCTTGGGTTCCAGTCCTGCCTCCCCCGTACTGACCACATAGCCTGGGAGTGCTTGGCACTCACTGTGGGAAACTGGGATGACAGACTTGAGGTAGGGTCCAGTGACTTAATGCTTTCCAGTGTTAGCCCCATGTTCACGCCCCACAAATGACTCTGTTCACTATTAACGCTCAAGTCGCACCTGGAAAAGGCCTCATCGACCCTGCTCAATCTGACTTTGCACCTTCCAGGGCCTAGAGCTTTCCAGGCCTCAATTTAGGCGGCTGTTCCTCTGTTCACTCTCTACTGCCTCTCTCTGGAACTCCTATCCTCCTGCTTTTTCTCATCTTTGAAGACCAACTTGGGCCTCCTAAGGGAATCTGCTTGGATGTGCCAGGAGGGCCACCCCCATTGTGCCTTGCATCCCCTCAAAGGCAAGCAAGGTCTGTCACTCAGCGACCAGTCCCCAGGGCTGCTCCAGGCTGACACATCAGCCACTTTCAGGAAGGGCTGAGCTGAGCATCCCTTCACCCTGCTGGGGAAAGTGTGACCAGGACACAGCCTTTACCACCCAGGCAGTCGTGGGCGTTGAGCTTGGTCTTGAATGGTTAGATTATCTGATCAATGAGGCTTTGGTTTACTTTGCAGCACCTGCGCTTGGACCCAGAACTTTGTGTATCTGCCATCCCTCTCTCTCTCTCTCTTTTTTTTTATAAATTTATTTATTTATTAAAGATTTCTGTCTCTTCCCCGCCACCCAATTCCCTCCCCCTCCCCCAATC